GCACTCATGTAGGAGTGGCTGAGCTGGGGTTTGAACCCAGGCTGTTTGTCTCTAGAGCACATGTGCTAAATCTAATAGGTTTAAATTAATACACATGGGAGTATAGTATTTTTATGGTTTCTGTTTGAATTTTTGGTTTCAGTATTTTAATATGCTCTTTGTGCAGTTTTCTATGGCTAGAAAGTTGTCGCAATGATAGTAATTAAGTGATAACAGAATTTTCGCTATGTTACTTTTATCAGCAAATTCCGTAGTGTGACTCAATTCTCTTTTATTGTATACATTAAAATTTGTCATTATCAAATCTTGATGTTAGTATTTTATTCTCTTTATTCTGGTTTATCTGTCTTTGTACCCCCATTCTAGCAATTCTTTGACTTTGAAATCTCTGATCCATTAACCCTTCCTCTTCTCATTAATAATCACCCCTTCCTGTCTTTAAAGTCTTCCCTACTCAACAGTATCACTTCGCATTAAACACGATTATCTTTTCCTTGTCTCTTTCTGTAATGACTTGGTTAAGTCCCACTCTAGAAGTACAGCTCCATACTTCTAGACAGCCATGGTGACTGGTCTTTAATTCATAGTTAAACTGACATTACTCTTTTCAGCAATTCAAAACTCATTTCTAATTTCCATTGTGCTAAAGGGCTATAGAAGCACCTCTGGATGGTAGACTTTGACCAGACTTTCAAATGTTGATTACTCATTCCTATGTGTATTCTTGATGAGTATATTTCAGATGTTACCTAACCATGGGTGGGTGAGGGAATGTATGTTAAAAAGTACTACTGCTGTCTGTGATACATTTACACATAACAGTAAGCAACTCTGAAGTCAATGGCAGTGACTTAACCATATTCCTGAGGTGTTGAATAGTACTTAGAGAGGCTTCTCATATTAGCAAATAAGAGAAGGGATGAAAAGATTGTGATTTAAGGGCAGTGTTGGGTAAGTGAATGTTTTCTTTTGTCTTCAGTAGAGATTTGTGATGGTTATAGGAGGCTATCATGAGGGCTGTCAGAGACGAAGATGGCCCCAGAGAAAAGATTGGAAAAGGGTTTGGAAAAGGAGCTGGCTCAGGAAGTGAGTTTCAGTTGGCTGAAAGTGAGCAAAGCTTGGATGTATTGTTGAAAAAGGGGCCGCCAGTCTCCGGGGAGGTTTTGGGTAGATGGAGGCGGGTTAACCAAGAGGAATGTCTCAGTGCAATGTTCTTCACTGTTTTTGAGTTTGAGAGAGTCCTTGAAATTTTTTAGTTATGTGGGGAAATTGTATGCCTAATAGTTGTGGTATTTACAGAAGTGTCTGAATGAATTTTTCGTTAATGTCAAGATTTTACCTCTTATATATGACTATAAATAGATGTCATTGCTGGGTCTTTGGGTCATTTTTAATGTGTTGCACACAGATCATAGCTTCACCTTTTAATTACGGTGAAATGCATAGAGATAGACTTCTATTCACTAGAATTGTTGGCATTAAGTTCAATTTTGAGGGATAATTTCTACTGTTATAGCCTTTTAAATTCACGTAAACTAAATTTTAAACCACCAAAGTAGCTTTCCTGTTGAATTGTCTTATCACAAGGAGGTTCCATCTTTTTTATATTGTAGCTAATGATCTTTCAAAGTACATTGTTTTTTAAAGACTTTTGGGCTTCTCATTGAAAACTGATGTCTTTTTCTGTCTCTCAGTCAAGATATACTTATTAATATAAGTGATTCTTCTAAAATGGAAATCTGATCTTGTCACATCCTTGCTTAAAATTTTCTTGGCTATATCTGTTTTCTGGGCTTCAATCCATTAGGATTAAGTTTAATGCCAGTGCTTTCTTAGCATTAAAGGTATTTATGATCTAATACATACCTTTTTCATTTTCACCTTCTGTCATCTCCAGACCTACTGATTTAACTTATTTTAAGAGATTACCAAATAGACCATGTTCTCTCAGGACTCAGGATATTGGCCCTGTTTCTTTTACCTCAAATATCTTTGCTGTTCCTCATGACTAACTCATCTGTTTTATCTTTGGATTACCTTCACTTCTCTTAGAAGCTTTTGACCCCCCAGTATAGTCAGGTATTCTTCTTCTGACCATCTCCTATGTATTTCTGTAAAACTTAATTATACTTACCAAATACTTAACTTTAATTAGACTTTTATTAAATTTCACATTGGCTTTAAAATTTCTGTTAGTCATGCTGTATTGTAATACATAGCTTTCTTTTCTGCCTCCTTTCCTGCCTCCCTAAACTCATGATTTTTCTAAATGGTGTTTTTTTGTTTTTTGTTTGCCATCTAGTTTTTTAAAGTTAATTAATTTTTTTAAGTTGTAGAAAATATACATAACATAAAGTTGACCATTTTAATAATTTCATTTTATCTTTTATTAAAAATTATTGGGGTGACACTGATTAACAAAATCAAATAAGTTTTAAGTGTATCATTCAGTAAGTCGTATATATATTGCATTGTGTGTTTACCACCCAGACCGTTTTAATCATTTTTAAGTGGATTATTATTCAGTAGCATTACTTATATTCACATTGTTGTACAACCATCACCACTGTCCATCTCCAAAACATTTTTCATCTTGCAAAACTGAATCTATGTACCTGTTACACAGTAATGCCTCATTCTTCTCACTCCCGAGCCCTAGCAGAGACTTTCTGTCTCTATCACTTTGACTACTCTACATACCTTATATAAGTGGAATCATACAGTATTTGTCCTTTTATGACTGGCTTATTCATTTCCTCATGGTTCATCTGTGTCCAAGTGTAAGAATTCCTTTTTAAGGATTAACAATATTCCATTGTATGTATATAGTACATTGATGGTAGTTCTTTTATCTTTATCTCTCCAATACCTGGCACAGTTTCTGACATACAGATGTGGTTCAGTGAATGTATTATTAAATGAATATGTCATGCAAGCAGTGTAGTAGGAAGGAACTGTTGAGAGACTGGGTTTTAGTCATGGCTCTTTCATTGATTTTTCTCTGTGATCTTGGGTAAATACATTATCTGTTCATCTTATTTCTGTAAAATGTTGATATCAACCACTTCACAAGACTTTTGAGATGGTTAAATGAGATACAGAGGTCCTTGTTATGAGAGCTCCCAAGCTACAAGGTTGCTACAGTAGAGAAAACTTCGTCAGTGTGAAAATATTCACCAATAAATTAGTCTCTTATAGAATTAGTCCTCTCTCAGATATGCTAACTCCCTGCCCCAGCCTGTCCCATCTGTGGCTTTCTGGGGTTTGTCTCTTTTGATTCAGGTGGAGGACACCTGACAGTAGAGTATAAATGCCTTATAAATTGATTTCAAGGTGAAATTGTATAACTTGTATTCTTGCTTAAATTTGTCTGTGGAGCTAAGGATAGGAATTTGGAGATTATATAATCTGATGCTATCTGGATAAAAACAAGCAGGTCCCACAGTAGATTTGATTATCCAGCATCTGCTTAAAACACCTTCAGTGACTAGAAAGTCAGTTATGTTGAAACAGTCATTTCAATTGGAAATTTTTGTTAGAAGTTCTTTCTTAATGTTGAAATGAACATTTTCTGTTTCTGTGCATTAGTGCTATGCAACTGATGTGATACAGATTGGTTCTAATCCTTCAACTTGATAGCCTGAATCAGTCAGGATAATCTTGGCCTTCTTTCCGTAATGAACACGATCTCCAAATCTCAGAAATTAGAAAAAATCCCCCAAATTTATTTTATTATTGATACTTCATGATTATCTACATGTCCACTGTGGATTAGAAAGAAGGCTTTTATCATCAGTCTCTCAAGGACCCAGGCTGACAGGAGCCACCATCTCAGATGTGACAGAGAAGAAGAGCTTTGGGAGGCCTTGCATAGGCAGTAAATGTTCTGGCCCAAAAATGACACACACACATCACTTCTACTCATAAGTCATTGTCCAGAACTAGTCATGTGGCCCTAACCTAACCACAGGGAGTGCAAAGGGGTGGGAAGTACAGTTCTAGTGCCCGGAATGGAAAAGAACCAGAATACTGGATGAATGGACAAACGACTGTCACACAGTCTTTTAAGAATTTGGAGTGTCATATCCTTGTGTTCCTCTCTTGCCTAGAATAAAAATTCCAATATTTTAACTCATTATAATATGATTTCCAATTCTCTAAACCATCCAGACACACTACAGTTTTTTTGTGTTGTTCCTGAAGGGTATTATCCAGAAGAGAATACAGTATTTCTGTATTCCTCTTGAGATCTGGCCAGGAATGCATTTCTTTTTCCTTTTGGCAGTCTAAATTCAGACAATATTAAGCCAGACAGTATTCAAGTTAGTTCAGTAACTCTATGTTTTTATAGATGTGGATTTAATTGTATCCTGTGGTTTAAGTTCAAAGAGTAAGACAGCTGCAGTATAGTAGAGAACAGAGATTGAAATTTTAATACTTTGATTCAAGTCTTGACTTTCAGGACCTGTGTTACACAGGATATGTTGCTTATTTTCTGGAAGATACAACAAGCTTGACTAGAACCGTGAGCAGAAGTGTTTTCATGAACTTTATGTAAAGTGGTATTAAGATACTAAGTGTTACTAAGAAACATTGTTTTTTTGTTTGTTTAGGTTTCTCATAGTTCAAGCTAGGGACTCAAGTGTTTTAAGTTCATATGTGGTCCTTACAGTCCTTGTGGGTGTAGATCACATACATTTTTATATTATTATTTTTAAAAAGCCAAACTGATATGCTGCCTCTCATTTGCAGGTAGGGTTCTTTCACAGTCTACTCCTGGGACTCCATCAAAGACTATAACAATATCTGAAAGTGGTGTTATTGGATCAACTTTAAATTCTACAACACAGACACCAAATAAAATAGCCATCTCACCTTTGAAATCGCCAAATAAGGTAAAAAAAAAAAAAATTAACCACAAATGCAAAATATTGTGGTTAATGCCTTTATTTTCTTACTAGTTACTTCAGATATTTCAGTTTTAATATATTCCCAAGCAACTAATAGACATTTGGTAGATACTGGATTAATTTAGTAATCAAGGATATATGACATTAAAAAGCTCAGCTAAACTCATAGTAACGTAGTAACCATTTTGAATGCTAAGATGATTTGCATGGCCCATATGAATGTGGGTACAACAAAAATCTTTTGAATGAGTTACATTATGTAATTGTTTAGTCCTTCAGTTAATATTTGTACAAAATTACTGTCTTTGGGTAAGTCACACATATAATGACTATAAATATAAAATGTTAAATGTAACTTTTTTTGTCTTCTGCTTAAGCTGTCTTGGGTATGGAGATATGAGTTTTTGGGTAACAGTTCTCAGAGTACTAGAAATTGCCATCAAATGCTGATAATCATATTATCAGAGTTTTTAAGCTTAAGTACAATTCATTCAAAGCATTTGAAAACTTTTCATAATTTGTTTTCATTTTAAGGTGGCAAAGTACCTATCATTTTACTATTAGGTCAAATAAGTAGTCTTCACTCATCTAAAACATATGGATATCATTATATCAGCATAACATTTTGAAAAAGGTATGTTTTAAAGGACATATTCAGGTAGAAAGCCAAACATAAGTATTCTGTAAGGTTCTACCCTTGTGATTCTGCCCTTTGTACCCATCTTTTTCCTTAATTTGTTACTGTTCATAAATAGAACAAACATTAAACATTTGTCTTATATTTTTAAAAAGTCTAGCTGCTGGTTTCTATTTTAATGAGACTTGAATATAATGTATGAATATGATGTCTCTTTTTTTCTTTTCAAATTATATTTTAATTCCTCAACTAGACAAAGTGCTATTCCAAAATAATTTTACAATAAGTGAACCTCCTCCAAAGAAAAAAAGAATTGCAGCAGGTGTGTGCATGTTTCAGAATAAAGCAAGGTATGAGGTTTCAGATGAAATAGAAAAGTCATGCAAGTTACAGAATGAAAACAGTAATAATAGCTAATAGTTATTGAAAGATTAATATGTGCCAGGCACCTTACCAAATGATTTACAAAAATTAAACCTTTCCAATATCTCCTGCCATCTTGACCAGAACTCTAATATGATGTCTTATAAAGTTTGTTGAAATAGTATTCTACCTACATAATAATATATATAATTCTTTACTTAAATGGAATGCAACATATATGAGTGCTTATTGTGTGCATTATGCACAGTGATAGGCACTGGGGATAAAAGTATGAATAAGTTTTTAATTTCAAGTGGTTTCAATAGGAAATTTAGACTTAAACATTAAAAATTGCCCTACAGAATCATAGTAGTCACATTTGGATTTATGAGCTCTGCTGTGTGTGTCAGGTAAGCTTTATACAGAGGATGCTATTGAAAGGTCTTGACTTTAAAGGTGGTTTGGGTCTTAGCTTTGGGTGAGCCGAGCAAAAATCTAAAAGTGTGACCCTTTCAGGGAGGTACATTGCTTTGAGTGCTAAGGGTGCTAAAAGCCAAGGGTGCTAAGGTTAATGGAAAGTCTCATTACCTTCAGGGGAGTTTTGGATGTTGTTGTTCTTAAAGGCTTTATGTTGCTTTCTGTTGCTGCCAGGACAGTGGTTCTCAGCCTTGTCTGCACGTGGGAATCACATCGGGAGCTTTAATGCCAATGCCTGCTTTTATCCTCAGAGACTGTTTTAATTGGCCTGGCGTTTGGCCTGTATCAGGATTTTTTAAAGCTCTTTAAGTGATTCTGATGGGTGGCCTAGATTGGAAACCACTCCTCTAGGATAATGAGAGGTTTGTATTTTTAAAAAGATGACTCTCGTGGCGTTATAAAAGGTAGTTTGGAGGAAAGTAAGCCTGGATTCTGGGATAAACCAGTTAGTTAGCAGCTCTTAACCTTGGCTGCAGTTTTGAAGCACCTGGAGACCTCTTGAAAAAATTAATGGCTGGACCCTACTTGACCCTATTTAAATCAGAGTTTCTAGGTTGGGACTCAGGTATGAGATTTTAAAATTCTAAAGTATAGCCCAGTATAGAGAATCACTAACTTGCATGTATTATAGTACTTTATGAGCTAGACTAGTATCTAAGGGGCTAGGGAGGGAGAGAGATGTTGAAAGAGGTTTAAGGCATAATGACTGGACGTCAGGATCTTAGGGAGGGGAGAATCTATGATGACTCCTAGATTCCTGGTTTGAATAACAGTAGATGGTGGCACTGTAGACTAATATGACTGGCATATGGGCTGACAAATAGGAACTAGCTTTATTTTTCTCTCATCCTTGACTTTGGCCATGCCATGTTGGCTCTTCCTCCCTACCTCTTGCCAGAGGTCATTTTTAACTAGCCTTATTTTGGTGATTAAGTTTACAGTTCCGAAAGGTCAGAGCAACAGTTTACATTCAGGTGAAAGCTTCTCCTCTCACTTCAGACCTTAGTTGGCTCAGGGATCATGTAGTGGAGAAGAGGAGTGTGATCTGTTTTTTAGTTTTCTACCTCTTCTCCCTTTCTGCTTTTGGCTTCTGATCGGAGGGAAGATTAGAAGAGAAAAGACAAAGTTTTATATGACTAGGATGATTATAATCCATCTACTGGTGCCCTCTTGTGGCAGGTGTCCACGTGTGTTGTGCATTTAGAAAGGTTTTGGGAAGTACACATGGGTAGGTCCACATTGCCCATTCCATGTCTAGGTATGGTGCACACTCCAGCTACCTTTGGCAATCTCCTCCTAGCCTTGCCTCCTGTAGTCCACCCTACAGCCTGTTACAGTTGAATGCTCTTATTCCAGAAGACATATCTTTTGGCCTAGCAAGATGCTTTAGCCCTTTTGCAACATCTATTTGGCTCATGGGAAACCTGTAGAACTCAGTAGTAGAAATGCAGCTTGCCTAACTGCTGTCCTCTGTTGTGTTTGCACTGCCATTTTGACAGCTCCATTCAACCTCTTGCTTTCACAATTCTCCAGGCTGGGACCAATCTCTGTGTTCAAGATATGCCCTTAACTCTTGGGGATATGTATTGCATTTTCCCAAGAACTCTCTTACTGCATTCATTTCTGGCAGCTAGACCAAAATGGGCTTAATAGTTTCTTTATCTCAGTACATTGCCAGCCAAAGATTTGGATCAGTTTTCTCTTACAGTTATCACCAAGTCTATCCCAGAGATTTTCTTGGAGAACTCTTGTCTAGTTCTCACTGAAATATAACCCTAGCATTCTCTGTTTATGAATTCACTTCTATTTCCAATCTGTTTTGTTTTATTTTTAATAGACAGGAAATAGATGATAGGGATGCTGTCTTTTAGTAAGTCTGGCATGAATGTCTTGTACTTTTTAGAATGTGGGGAGTTTTTAATGTGCCCAGATGTGTGTTGTGTTGTGTTGTTATTTTCTTTTTTAAAATATATATTTATTATTATTATAAATAGGACAGTTTTCTTTACACATATTTCTTTGGGGGAGAGGACACCTACTCCATTAGACTTGTTTTTTTGTTTGTTTGTTTTACACCTATCATGCCATGAATTCATAGGGAATGGGTTCTGGCAGCTCAGGCTCCTTTCTTCTGATTCTCTGGGTGGAGCAGGCTGACATTTCAGTTGAACCCAGGTACCTGTCTCTGGCTTCCTTCTTTTCTTGATCATTTTCTTTCACATGTTTCAGGAAGCTATCTTGGCCCTTAGAGAGCTTATGCTCAAGATCTCGGCTCTTAGAGAGTTTTTGTTTAATACGTACGTTAACTCTCTTGACAAGAATCTTACCTTTAACTTCTTTGTTTACAACAATGCCAACTGCATGCTGAGTAACATTGTAGACCTTTCCAGTTTTGCCATGGTAACATTTGTGGGGCACTCCTTTCGAAAAGTGCCCATTCCCTTGCTGTCTACAATATCACCTTTGTTGTAGACTCGAGTGTATGTGGCCAAAGGAACAACCCCATGATTTCTAAAAGGCCTAGGGAACATGTAGCAGGTGCC